CCGAGTATTTAGGGATTGAATTTCGGCGCAAAATTGATGCCCCCGACTTTTCAACGCAACGGGGAGTGGAGAATTTTTCATGTGACGCACACACATCTGCAGAGAGGGAAGCTGAAGCAAAAGATAAACATCTTTTCGACTATACGCCATCCGTCTCTCTACTAAACTCATCCTATACTCCACTCGGGCTCGGTATTTCTTAAGTTGTTTTTTTTTGTTTGTTTTTTTTTTTTTTTTCTTTTTGATAAATTTCAAAATACTCATTTGCTCATAGTGTACTAAAATTTAAATTACACAATAATTTCTGATAATTTTTTGTATTAATGGATGAGATCTTTGTTTAAATGCATTTTTAAATTAATGATATTATTTTAATGATTTATTTTAATAATTATTTTAATGATTTATGTTAAATTCAGGTTGATTTTATTGAATCCTCCTTATAAATTGATGTAAACAACCGAAAGTCAAATTCTTATCATTTCACACAATTGAATGAAAAACATAATCTATACTTTAAAATGAAGACGTCCTCTATGTTTTTTTTAAATTATTTATAAATATATTTTTCAAAATTTAAAGAAAAAGCACCATAAAGTACAACATGTATAATGTATGTGTAGCAAGCAAACACTTAGCTCACACAGAGAGGGCGTGCGCTACAGGCGATTATTTTAAACACGACCCGAATGCTTCCTGAACCACGTGTCAGAGTTTCGTTGGCACCAAAAGTTTCTCCAGATTACCTGCGACACATAACGAGAGAAGTCAGACTTGGCTCCGGGCCAACGCTGACTTTAAATCGGCATGTTTTATTTGAGTTTGTAGAAGTGGTATTTGGTCGCTTTAGTCCTACTCTTAATATCACTATCCTTGTATTTTTTTTAATTAATTTTTTTTTTTAATATATTTCTAAATTAACATTAAGAAATTTAGTAGAACTGTGTTTCCTTAGTTTCAGTAAACTCATAAATCCATCCTCAAAAACATTAATTCCTAATATAAGAATTAATTAATATACATCTAAACGCGATGCTTTTAAGATTATACAAGCAATTTATGTATGTTCGATAGAAGTTCAAACATTACGAATTCCATCCAGTTTCCAGCGTATACTACACAATGTTTTTGGCATCACGAGTTTTCCTATGCCACGTACGGGCAATGCTATTTCTAGCGACCTTTGGGTACGACTGACCTCCTGCTGCAGATTCTCACGTTGTTTTCCTTTTCGCGTACCGGAACGATGCGCAAAGTGAGGAGACACTTTGCGCTTACAGCCGCACTTGTTACTTGTTTTTTTTTTTTTTTTTACTACTCGAAATATGTGACCTCTATTCAGAAAATATTTGGATCTATTTTGTAAAAACCTTTACTAGAACATAGAAATGTAGATTTTTTGTATTCCATTATTGACATAATTTATTCGTTATAATTCTTTGATTGTGTTTGAATAAAGAACATGAGTGAAGCTGAATAATTTTGAGTTTTAAATTTTACTTTATTAACACTTTAAATGATTTAAAATTATTAAAAAATTTAATGCTCCCAACGGTTTTATAATTTTTTTAATAGTAATTTTAAAATAATTTAAATAAGTAATTTCATAAAATGCTCATTTCACTTTACATTTCTATGAAATATTAACATACATTTGTGTAACAGAGACAATTAATTCTAATAATTT